AACCACTGGCCCACTAATCTGTTTCATTTCTAAAATTTTGTCATTACAAAACATTATAATGTATAAATAGAGTTGTACAGTATATGACCTTTTGAATTTGGCTTCTTTCAGGATAATTTCTTGGAGATTCATCCAGTTTATTCTGTGTATCAATAGTGTGTTCCTGTTGACCACTGCACAGTATTCCGTGGTGTGGATGTACCAGTTCGTTTGACCAGTCACCCCTAGAAGGACAGTTCAGGCATTTCCGGTTTGGGGCTATTATAAGTAAAGCTGCTGTGAACATTCGTGTACAGGCTTTTGTTTGTTGGGATAAATGCTGAAGGGGACAATTGCTGGGTTAAATGGCAGAAACATTTTTGTTTTTTTAAGAAGCCACTACCGTATTCTAGAATGGCCAAAGCACTTTACATCTGATCAGTGATGCCGGAGAAAGGCAGTTTCTCGGCATCATTGCTAGCATTGGGGACTGTCACTATTTTTCATTTTAGCCATTCTAAGAGACCTGAGTGACATCTCATCATAGTTTTCATTTGTATGTCCCCCTGATGGCTGATGATGTTGAACACATTTTCGTGTGCTTCTCGGCCGCCTGTACGTCCTCCTCAGGGAAGCCTCTGTGCGCGTCTCTGCCATCGTCTAGCTCATACTCTGTTCTTTCACTGTTGGGTCTTGGAAGTGAGGACCTCCTGGGTGCTGGGTCCTTGGTGGGGAAGAGGGATTTACTCAGCAGGCTAGGGTCAGCCCTCAGGGCTGACGTGAGCAGGGGGAAGAGGAAAACAGGCAGAAAATTCACCAGAAAAACTAATACAAATTCAAAAGCCATACATGCTGTGAGGCACATCAAGTGCTGATATAGAGCCTGCATGAAGGATGGCAACCTGGAGCTGGGGGTCCCAGTTCCTGAGCTAAAGGAGGCCTGAAAGGGAGAAGGGGTCCGCCTTGATAGTCCAGGGGGTGAAGTGTGCAGGTGGGGGCAGGGGGGTGTGCAGGTGGGCCACAGCAGACTATGCTGGGCCTGTGAAGCGAGGAGTAAGGTGGTGGCAGGCAGATGAGATGAGGCTGAGCAGGGTCAGGCAGGGCTTGATTGGAGTGGGTTTTGCAGGCTGAACCAGGGCGCGGGGGTTCTAAGAGGGGGTGAGAAGGGATTTGATTTGTGTTGGGGTGTCCTCGCTGACCCAACTGTCCTAGATTCTGTTATCTCTCAGCACTGAGGCCCCAAGGGGTGAGGGGGTGATGTGTCATCTCTCAGGGCCCCCTCCCTCTGGCGCCCCAGAGCCTCACAGGTTGGGGGAGGGAGCTGGAGTGGCTATTTACAGTCCCTGACAGCCCAGTCAGACCCTCTCCCAGACAGACACCTGTCAAATATTCATGAGGATGAGAAGCCCTCACTCGTCCCCGCTCTGTCCTCCTCGAGGTCTGATGGGCCCTGTCCACAGGACTCAGCCCCCTCTGGCGATGGTGTGGCCCTGCCCTAGCTCATTCCTCACTGTAAGGACCACCTGCCCACTTCACAGAGGGTGGTTCATGGGGGTCCTGGCCCTCGGCCAGGTGGAATAAGCGGCCCAGGACTCCTGTCACCCCCCGTCCCTGGACTGCCTGCGCCAGGGAGAACACACAGGCACCCTGTCATGATTGGGGGCTAGGAAATCCCTCCTCAACTTCCCAGGCTTCTCCAGGGCCTGGCCCCGGGAGAGCCAAGCGGCACAGCCCATGGCCCACCTCACCTGGCCTGTGGAGGTGGGAGGCCCTGAGCACAGTGTGGCCCTGAACTGAAAGTCTTCACTGGGACTATCCCTCATTTTTAAAGAGGGCTGGTGTTGTCAACCTCTAAGGTTGTCATGACAATGAGATGACACTGAGACCCAGAATAAAATGCAGGAAGGGCTCCAGCCTTTCCAGGAGAATAGAACCCAGGACCACCAGCTGGGTCTCTTCCATTAGCTCAGGCCTGGGCTGCAGAGAGTGGGATCCCATGACCAGCTGCAGGCCCCAGCAGGGCACGCCTGCCAGCCAGCGCCCGCACTGTTCTGAGATAGACGGGTCCTGCCTGGCTTCTGAGGCCCCTTCTGACATTCTCCGTAACCTAGGTGCAGAGCCCACAGCAAAGACTCCTGCAATAACGGAGCACCAGCTGCCTGTTTCCTCCCACCCCCACTCTGGGACCAAAATAAAGACTTTATTCATCGAAGCCATTTCTCTCCTGAATAAGATCATTAATAATGGGGAAGGTGCCTCTCTGACAACCAGGCAGAACTGATGTGTATGTGTGTGTGTATGCATGTGTGTGCATCTGTGTATATGAGAGTGGGTGTTTGTGTGTAGGTGTATGTAGGGTCCTCCCTTAGCATCCTGGGCATCCTGGGACCCAGCTGACCCCTGCCTGCTCCTCCTTCTGTGCCATCGAATGGTAAGATTCCTGCGGCTCTGGGCACCACGTCCCCCTGCCTCACTGCCAGGGCGAGCCTTGGAGGAGGGGAGGAATGTGAGGGTATTACCAGGGGAAGTGTGTGTTGGGAGGTGCGGGGGTGGGGGTGGCAGCAGTGGTGACTATGAGAAGGGGACCCGGCAGCTGGCACCAACCTTGGGGATGCTCCACGAGTCCGGATTAGGGGTTTAGAAATTGCCCTGTGTAGGTGGCACTTAACTAAAAACTGACCAGGAGGCCCAATTCCTGCTCACAAATGTGTTTGTGCTTCATGGGGTTTCTCCCACCTAACCTGTTCCTGCAAGGCGAACAGACAAGCTTCTCCTCACCCTTTTGGGCATTCACAAATCACAGGTTAGATGTTTGGGAGGGGTTCTTATTCCCCACGTTTAGGAAAGCCCCCACTGAAGGCATGATGAGAGAGTCCAACAGGCCAGACCCTTGCTTTCCCTGTTCCCCTTGCAAGCAGGGACTGGGTTGGGACAATGGACTCCTCTAGTGCTGTTTTTTTTTTTTTAAGATATTATTCATTTATATTTAGAGAGAGAGGAAGGGAAGGAGAAAGAGATGGAGGGAAACATCAATTTGTGAGGGAAACATTGATGGATTGCCTCTCGCACACCCCCAGCCAGGGACCCGGCCCACAACCCAGGCATGTGCCCTAACTGGGAATCAAACCAGGGATCTTCTGGTTTGCAGAATGAGCCACACTGGTCAGGACTGGACTCCTCTACTCTTGACCTTGAACCTGAAGCTAGTGACTCAGCCCAGAGGACCCCCCAGCTGCAGCCTCCATGTGTCCAGCACAGCAGGGCCAGGAGGCCAGTGGGGTCCCAGGCCCAGGGCCCCTGGGTGGCAACCCCAGGAGCGGGGCCCTTGTTCCCCAGCAGCAGCAGAGGTTCACAGGCCCTTCCATGGAGCAAACGTGGCTGAGGTCTGGCCGTCCAGCTGCCTGCTCCTTGCTCTGGTCTGGCTGCCTGGCTCTCTGTCCTCCCTGGAGAGGCTGGACTGGCCCCGCTGCCTGTTTCTCATTTCTTTCTGGTTAAAATCAGCCTGGCTCAGTGTCTGCTCCTTGCACCTGAGACACTGAGGCAGGGGTTATGTTTGGGGTTCTGCATCTGCAGAAGCCACCTAATTGCATGGCTATCTGCTATTTGCTTTGGACACCAAAGTCTCTCAGAGCTATGCAAACATAGCGCACTGACCCTAGAAGGACATCCCCAGCCAGCCCGCTGGCCATCATCCTGGCCACCAATCCACCCCCCACGGGGATGCTGCTGCCTCTCACAACTGGCAGTTAGGCCATGTCATCAATAGAGTGAGCTTGGGGACTGCCTGTGGCAGTGACCTAGTTGGCCAGACCACACCTATGGCATAGCCTGGAGAGCAGGGCACTGGGCCACAAACAAGACTGGGCAGATGCCCCAAGGGGCCACCATGTCTGCTGGCCACACATGACTCTCCCTGAGCCTTGCCCTCAAGGGCCCACCCTGCTGCCAGTGTGGACTTTAAGGATGATGGGTGCTTTGGAAACCAGGATGGTGGGTGGGGCTCAAAATATTGTTGCAGAAAAATAAACCTCGCTGTGCTGGGACCTCTGCCCAGGTTGCCCTTTCCCGTCCACACCACTGGAGCTCATGGCCAGTATCTGTGACTCACCCCCATGACCTCTCCTTCCAAATTCCTCCAGTTGGTTGTTTGAGCTGTTAATTCGGATCATTGCACAAAGCAGGGCAGTGGGTTCCATCAGCGTGCCCCTCTGGCGAGGCAGGAGTCTCTCAGGCAACCTTCCTTACCTCAGGTGGAAGATGGAGGGCGCGGGAGTGAAGTGAGGAAGCCGCGCGTTGCTGTGTGACCCTGTGTGGACCCACTGCCCTCTCTGGGCTTCAGTCTAAGAAGGGGTTGTGATCTCTAAGGGACCACCCAGTTCTGACAACCAGGCTGTGCCAGGGCAAGAGTTTGATGAGCAAGTCTGGGCCTTGCCTCCCTCCTTGCAGGGGTCCCATCATGTGCCAGACCAGAGCGCAGAATGGAGAGCCCTCAACCAGGAGTTCCACTGCCTAGTCCCTGCCAAGTCCCATGGAAACTTCATGGGAGAGGCGACTTGTGGCTCACTGGGCCATGACAGGAAGGCTTTCCATAACCGGGTGAAGGGCACGGATGTGTGGGAGAGTGGTGTGTCCACAGGCCAGTTCATGTGGCTGGAGGAGAGTATGTGTGGGCGGTGTGGGGTGGCCTTGATCGTCACTCTCCATCCACTCCTCTGTCTCTGACAACTGGGCTGCCTTTCTCGTGGACTCAGTCTGCACCTGTAAGGCATCCTAGCTATGCAGACCAAGGGCTCTTGCAGAGAGAATCAGGCTTGTGAGGAGATGGCCAGTGCAGGGGAGAAGAGAGCCCTGGAACTCTCCAGCTGGGACTAGGGCTTCCAGCATGCACCCTGGGAAGACAAAACCCTGGGTGAAGTTAAGGACAGTCTCGCCCTTAACAGGAGGCCGGGGAGCCTGGTGGCAATCTGAAGGTCCCCTTTTTGAGCAAGGGCTCAGGGCCTCTCTGCCTGTTCCTGCTGCAGGAGGTGATGAAGGTGTCGGATGGCAGCCTCCTGGGGGACCCCGGGCACACGCCACTAAGCAAGAAACAGGGTGTCAAGTGGCAGAGGCCAAGGCTCACCCGCCAGGCCCTGATGCGGTGCTGCCTAGTCAAGTGGATCCTGTCCAGCGCTGCTCCACAGGGCTCAGGTAGGGACCGGGGCAGGGCTGGGGGATCTGTTCTGAACTCTGTCCTATCTGGGGGCCCAGAAACCATCCTGGAGCCCCAACCCAGGCTGCACCACCTCTGCCTCCATCGAGAGATGTGTTTTTATTCCCCCATGCCTGTTTTCATTCATCTATGCAGGGACTGAGCTCAAAGCAGGGCCCATAAAGGGTAGAGACAGGGTTGGGAGGGACCAGACTGGAGGTGCACTTGAGCAGCTGTGGCGGGGAGTGTGGAGCCCAGCTTCAGAGGCTGACAGGCATCCACCTCGCCTGCTTGGTAACTCGGTGCTGGAACTCATCCTTCCTAAGTCCTCTGTAAAAAGGGCTGATGCCCACCTGCAGGGCACATGTGAAGAGGGGCAAAAATGTGTGCCAGGGCCTGGGGAGGGGGAGGCCCTGCCCTGTGCATGTAGGGCTGGTGCTGGCTCTTTACTAGGCCTGTTTTCTGGGTGTTTGTGAGGCACAGATGGAAGTGGCTGTCCTGCCCCGGCTGTGGGCAATATTAGGTGTTTGCTGCTTGTGACACAGCAGAAGGTGCAGAAGAGACCTTGTGCAGCCCCTGTATTCTCACACATGTACACACCATGCACTGACACCTGTGCACACCCACCATGCATCTACCACAGGTGCGCACAGCTGTTCACCATGCATACATGAATGCGCAGGCACATACACATATTATACACAGGTGTCCCTGCCACACGCAGGCACACACACCAACAGGCACGCATGAGACTGCCTCTCTGACTGTAAAGAAAAGCTGCAGACCTGGCTCTGACAGCTGTCTTGGTTGTTGTCTCAGGCACTCTCTGTGTGATTTCCAGGGGGTCTCAGTCCTCATGGCTGAAGGTGGGCACAATCGTGTCCCCAGTGCCCCAGGCATGATGGGGTAGGAGTGAAGAGGGGGAGCAGCACAGAGGCTGGCAGCTGACTCCAGTCTGTGTGTGCAGGGCTTCCAGCCAGGTGCCTGTCCTTTATCTGAGGACCCACTCCAGGGAGCTCCCAGCACAACTCCAGCCCCACCTCTGCTCCCTCCGGACACCCTGCCTGTCCGCGCCGCTCTGTCATCCTCGCATGACATTTGTTCTTGGCCTTCCCCACAGTGGCCTCCCACAGGGGCTCTAATGCACATGAACACAGATGGGGTCCACATGCACTCCTCAGCTTCTCAGGGAAGGGGAATAGATTTGCTTGTGGCAGGAAGATGCAGTCATTACAAGGTTATGGAAACAGCTTAACTGGGAAGTTCCCACATGATGTTGATCACTCTGTAGAAGGATTGACACAGTTCAGTCCGCATGGAGAGCAGAGGGGAGCCATGGCACACTGGCACGGCCAGCCTGGATCTCTGGCTGACACAGCTTCATGTCCCCACCAGCTGCCGAGGATTCCCTTGGTGGCAGCGCAAGATCCTCCTTTTCCGAGGTCTTGGGGGCCCTGGGCTTGGCTTCGGTGTCTCTCTGTCTCCCTGATTCTCTCCATCCAGCACCACGCCCGGCCCCAGGCCTTTCTCCCATGGCAGTTGTCCCGTTTCCAGCTTTCAGGCTGGGGCTGGGTATGGTGCGCCACCCCTTCACTGGAGCTTCTAGCACAACCTGAGTGTCAGTAGACACGGAAGCTGGGGGCAGGCTTGCTGTATTCAAGGTCGCAATGAGAGTGGGCCAAGGGGACCATACCCACATGTCCCACCTTCATCTCAGGGTGGGCTCCTAGGGGCCAGACCTTTCACATTCAGCTTCTACTGACCTATCGGATGTGTCTGCTCAGCACCTTGTCACAGCCACGCAGGTGAGGGGATCGGAGAGTGGGGGGAGGGCCCAAGAACCATCGGTGGCTCTGGCCCAGCTCCTGGGTGGATGTGTTTACCAGGCAGTGGGCTGGGCACCCAGAGGATATGTGAAGCACAGGAAAATCATATCTTATTTAGCTGTGTGAGGCAGGCAGTGAAGATCATTGTCTTACTAAAAATTTGATTGGAGCTCAGGGAGATCACATGACTTAGCAGGTTGCATGGAGTTAGAGGCAGAACGGGAGTTCTGACCAGGAGCTTCTGCCATGTGTTCCAGGCAAGGGGCCCACGCGATCTGTGTCTCCCATGTCTCTTCACTCAAGAGCTGAGGAAAGTGGGAGCTTAGAGGGTCTGTGAGGGCAGCAGCCATGTTCATGGACTGAGCAACTGAGACTCCACTTGTCTCCTCCATCCAACATGTCCTCTGTGTGTCCCACAAGGACAGGACTGCTGGTCACACAGACGGTTGTGTGTGCACCTGAAATGCTAGACTGTGAGCAGATGGGGCTCCCCTGCTCCTCCAGGAGCTTCCTGGGGCTCTGGGCACAGGTAACAATGGGTGCCATTCAGTGCAGCTACATCATACCCAGCCTGGTGGCCCAGGCAACAGTCGGCCGCGGAAAGTGGCACGATGCTGAGACACTGTGTCCTTGTTGTCAGGGGTTTTTCCATTCACAGAGGCAAGCCGGAAAGGCAGGTTTCTGGGACAACCAGAACAGAAGCTCGGGCCCAGGAAACCGCACTATGTCGCTGAACTCGGGCCACCTCGGCCAAGAGTAGGTGGGACTCAAGGGCCAGAATCGCGTGGGCAGGGCCCACCAGCGGCCACTGTGTCCTGGTATCACTCTTGAACTGCGAAGGCCCCAACAAAGTGTTGGGAGCTGGTCAGCAGCAGCGGCCTCTAGCATGATTATGCCCAGGAAGGGGGGACACAGGGCAGGCAGAGTGTCCCCACCCTGCCCAGGAGGAGTGCCCATCTTTGGCCAAGAAGTGCAACCCTCCACAACACTGGGGGAGAGGGGCATCTCAGTGACCCAGAGGCTTTTATGCTCTGGGGAAACATTCTTCTTTGGGATCTAAAACCTCTAGTCTGGAGTCAACAGCTTTGGAAATAAAAAGCACAAGTACTGTGAGTGGGTGGCCAGGGGATGGTGTGAGGACCCCCCACTTCCCGTGGTCCCTGGCCCTGTGCTTCTGGCTGGAGGAAGAGCAGCACCAGCACCTGAATCTTGCGCTGGAGAGGGAGCCAGCCGGCCGGAGGCTCTCCCACTGCTCTGCAAGGCTTCTGGGCACTGGGACAGGTGAGGTCAGGGGGCTTAGAAGCATGGGCCTTTGACCACACTTCCCTGTTGTAAAATGAGACCCTTGGTGAGTAACAGTGATGTGTGGGACACTGTGATGGCTGATGGTATTGGCAGAGGCAGGGTGGGCAGGAGGGAAGGTCCACATGCAGAATGAGTATCTAATCCAGAGAGGGAAGGGATACAGCGTAGCTGACCTGCCACCTGCTGGCCAGCTGGGCACTCGACAACAGCTGCAGGCAGATAGCCCAGCGTGGAGAAGTTCTTTGATGGGACCTGGGGAGCCTCAGTCCACCGCAGCCAGGAGTACAGGCTGACTGAGGTGCAGAACAGGCCGTCCTGTCCACCCTACATGCAGCCTCCCCAGGCCTCGGGGACCTTTGAAGAGCATCACAAAAGCCTCTGATGTCCTCACACCGTCTGGTCGCCACTCCTCCACCTTGTTTTCTCCACTCCCCTGACCCTTGAACAAGTGGTTGGCAACTGCCCAGGACAATGTAATCTGTATGCCAAGCCATCTCTCCTGCCAGGCCACAAAGGCCAGCAGACATGCTCAATGTTCTGCCCACCAGGACGATGTCTCTTCATGTCCCTGCCTGAATGGGCTTCCCTGTCAACTTAGAATTGGTGCCATCATTTCTAGCAGCTCTGTAAATGACATACACATACTTCTCCTCAAATGGCCTTAGGGGCTCCCGAGGGGGCCTCAGGTGTGTGTTAAGGAGAAGATGGCATGCGGCTGTCACCATAGGATGGAGTAGGGGACTGAGCCTTTACAGATACAGCTGAGCCTTCTAGGTGCCCCGACCCTAAGCCCACTCTGTGCGTGGTACAGAGGGCATTCAGTGCCGAGGGAGAGGTCGATACACGTTTCTGGAGAGCACGCCCAGGCTCAGGGCCACTCGGTGTCCCAGTCAGGCATCCCTGGTCTCATGAGAACTCAGGAAGGAGCCACTAATTGTATGTCAAAATAAGAATAGATCTTTGCCAAAGAAAACCCGGCTTTGCTTAAAACCTAGGGAGGTCATAGAATGATGTATTGGGGCCTGCCGGGGTTCCTACAGGGCATCCGATCCTGCCTTAGGCACGTGGTGTGCCACTGAAATGTGCTTGGTCATTAGGCCCCGGGGCAGAGCAGCTAGTACAGGGCCTTACCTGCTGCGAGCCTTTGCTGGCGCTCAGGAAACAGCCTGGAATGCCTGCTTAACTGTGGTGCATAAGAAGGTCCATCAAACATTGTACTTACTTGCCTATAAAAGAAACCCAAATAGCAGTGATTTAATTTAGGCAGAGGCTCGTAGCTCCTATTTGAGAAATCTGGGCTAGGCAGTGGCTGGCAGCAGTTTAGCAGCTTCAGGACAGCAGAGTCAAGGTCTTTGGGGGGGTTTGCCCTTTCCCTCATAGCTGCAAGGTCGTTGCTTTGGCTCCGGCCACATGGCTGTGTTCCAGGCAAGAGGAATGAGAAATCCGGTGAAAGGAGGAAGTGGTGGTGCCTTCAGCAGGAAAGCAACACTTACAGGCGTCTCTGGAGGATTCATTCTGTGTTTCATTGGCCAGAACTGAGCCACCCTGACTGCAAGGAAGGAGGGGTATGGTGGTTTTTTTAGCTGGGCACATTTCCACCTCCCACAAAATCTGAGTTGTTTAGTGGAAAAAGCTGTTTAGAGGAGAATGAATACTTCTGGCGTTCTCTGCCAGATGTGCCTCGTAGGGTTATCATGACTGAAAGCACGGGTGCCCAGAAGGACCTTAGCAAGCTGCCTGCACACACTAGGTGCTCAATAAATGTGGGGGCAGTTCCTTCTCCAGTCACACACTTGATTTTCCTGTACCCTCCTCATCAGAAGGGCTCCTTCCTGCCTCCCCATTTTCCATTCTGTAGAGACACCAGC